AAAAACAAGTGATTTTAAGGCTCTCAAAACAAAAAACCCGGAAAATCCTGAGGCAGAAAACTAAAAACCCCGGAAGCTCCGTACACCTTATAAAAGATTTCAAAAACTAATCACCTACCCACTGGCGACTCCCAAAAAAATCTCGAAGCCTGAAAGCTCTGTAGAAAAAAGAGTGGAAGAAAAAGAATCATAAAAAGATTCTCAATGCAAAAATGTGCTCGAAAAATACTGCTAGTTCTAAAAATTTTCATTTTCTTAAAAAATCAAAAAACAGTCCAAATTTTTCAAAAACTTCAGAAACCCTGGAGAAGTAACTCCAAAAAAAAAAAATTTGATGCCCATAAAATCTTGAATTCTACGTTTTTTAGGGAACCAGAGCACTGTTTATTTAAAAAAAAAAAAAAACTCAGTAAATCGGAGCAAAAAAAGGGCAAGAGTTACTTGAAAGTACTAGAAAAATGGCAAGTATAATGAACATGTCAAGTACAACTTAAAGCGTATTTTATACAGAACGAAGGGACAAATCAACACTGAATAAGACGATATGTAAGACGTATAGGTCAAGGCCACGAAGACGTGATCCAACCACACAAATTTTTATGGGTTTTTCTGCATCTTATGCAATGCAAAAACGCATATTGTCGAGAAGCTGTGTGTGTGTGTGTGTGTGTGTGTGTGTGTGTGTGCCTGTGTGTGCGTCTGTACGATTTTTAATCTCGAGATCTATAAAAGCCACAGAGGTGAAACTTTGGGAACTTAATCTACATGCGCATACGGGTTTCCATGCCCCAAAGTAGGCGCTCTTACCCACCTGGTTTCTGTTTTGTCTACAACCCAAATGTTAACAAAAAGACTTACCCGCTGACACAGCCATCAATATTACCTTATTTTTATGACATAAGAAATCAGCGAGAGCTAGCCTAACTAGAACTAACCGCCGTAAATTCGAGTTACTCTAAACTGCCGTTGTCCACAAGAGAAATGTGAGGTACAGGAGGGTCGGTCGCACCCTCAATTATTTCTATTTTTCAAAAAAAAAATGAGTCATGCGGAGGATCTCAACCAAAAAATTGAAAAAAAAGCAGTCTCGCTGTCGTCTATGTTTCTGTACATTTGCCTTACACATTCGTAAATTTTCCCGCTATTATAGCAAAGGATTTTTTCGCAAAGGGAACTGCATGAATATAAAGAGGTAACAGGTTGAAATCCTCCGCATGACTTATTTTTCTTTTGAGAAATAAAAATAATTGAGGAAGCGATCGACCCTCCTGTCTACCACTGAAAATCCATAAATCTCTGCTTGTTTCATTCTTTAGCGGATTGTGAGAAAAACGAATCACGGCGTCCAAGCCGTGGAAGGAATGTTGATGTGGAGAGCATTTGTCGAATGCCACGACCTGGCGTACCGAATGAAATCGTTGCTGGCCGATCCGGACGATCTTCGCAGTTCTCGTCGATACGATGGAGGTTGTTGCGCGAATGCAAACGTGATAGTGTATTGGTGATACCCACTTGCATCGTTGACATTGCACGTCTGAATTGACTCTGTGGTCGAACACGTGGCGCAGTAAGTCCTTGGGAACCGCCAAACAACGGATTTCGAATACTGAAAAGGAAATTGCTGAACTGCTACGCCAAAACCCTCCCCGAATTTCTACCCTCAATGGGAGGTGGAGGAATTCGAGAAGTGGTATGGATGCCAACAGAAACCACCTGTTGCTGGAAATGACCATCGCTCCTTTTTTCGAGGGTTTACTTGCAAGCGAGCTGGTAGCGGGTTTGACTCTTCCTGGCATGCGCCAGTACCAAATTATCATCAAAACAAAAGAACGGGCCACAGAAAGACTGGTATTTCACGAAAATCGCTAACTTGGGAACCAGAAAAGCTAGGAAACTGAAGTCTTGGAATGTTGTTCCGTGTCCATGTGCGACCCAAAGATTTCAAATTCAGTTCTCGTATATGACCAGAAAGGTTGAACTCTCGATCTACTCTACGATATCAATGCTATTTTTCACTGCAAGAAATTCGTTAATATAGTGCAAACAAATCAGAAAATTTCTAGTTTCCAATGGTTTTGAAATATCCTAAAATAGGGTTAGTCATAAAAAAAACGAGTTTTGGTTGCTGAGGGAAGAAAAAGTGAAGCGCGGCTGCTTGCCGGGAATTATTTCCATTGAAAAAACACGGACAAAAAACAACGAGAAGCACTTACGCATGACTCAACCCCTTCTCGACTGTTTGTACAGTTTCCAGAACACCAAGTACTGAAGGATTTGAATCAAAGTCCACTTCATCCATCAGCGTATGTCTTCCAACCAATTTGAATACCTTCAAAAACTACAAACTCATTCAAAAAGTTTTGAAAATAAAAGATAATAAATAGAGCATTTTTATTTTTTATAAGAAAAAAACTCTGCTTTTGTTAAAGGTACCATTATTTTCGGGCTCCATTATTTGCGGTTTTCAAACTTTTTAATTTTTGATCTTTTTATTACTACTTCCTTTTTAATCTTCAAGAATTCTGTAATATTTTTTAGTCCATATCTCGAGTTGCTTTTTCCTTTTTTTTAAATGATTTTTTCCTGTTTTTTATTTTTCCCGACCAAATTTTAAAGTTTTTTTCGTTCAAAATCCAGTACTGTAAATTTTTACACTAAAAAAATACTATTTTTTCTGAATATCGAAAGACTACGAGTTGAACTAACGGCGAGGAAAAAAAGAAAAGTTGAGATAGCAAATATTTAAATTACTATGGTAAAAGATTTCTTAACAAATATGGCTAAAAATCGTCAAGTCATAGCTCTGATAAAGCATTTCTTATCAAATCTCAAAAAATGCTAAAAACAAAAACCTGATCTTCGACATCTTGCAAAAACTTCTTCAGCTCCCCTTCTTGATTTTCAAGGCACTGCGCCACCCAGATTTCTTCACCCTGACTCACTCGGAATGAAATAACGAATACTCCATTTGCATCT